CTGGTTTATATTTAATCTAATTTTCAATTCTAGACACTACTTCCACTCCAATCATTTCCCAAACCATCAGCCTATTCAAAGGACAAAGTTCTCCAAACCTCACCCTGATTCTTTCTATATATCCAGAGCTATGCATGTGTTCACTAAAGAATAGTACATCCAGAAACAGGAACTGCTTGGGGGTCATCGTGTCCATTGCATTCAGGAACTAATCATGGAACATAAGGAATGGACTGTATAGGATCGTTATTCATGTTTGGTGATGGAGACTGACTCAGCCTGGTTGGTGGAGAGGCAACAAGGAGGACTAGAGTTTCTCAGAATGGGAAAGCTAAGAATTGATGATGGAGGTGAGGCTTCTCCATTGAGTTTCTAGTTCTCAGGAGCCTAGCTTTTATCAAGTATCCCTCCTCCTGTTTCTCCATTATGGGTTGCATGCTCCTAAGAGTAGTTTTTAAACTAGCAAACAGTGTAATTGCCAAACAGAAACTTTCATTATAGATACCTATGACTACACCATTTATTGCCGTCAAGCCAAGTACAGATCTTAACGAAAGCAGCAAGTAATTACAAATGCAAAGGTGTGCTAGTTTCTAGTTCTCTAAGTGTCTTTGCCCAAGAAGATGCCATTCTCCCAGGTCCAGTTTTGTCACATGTATGTAATAAACCCAAGGAAGAGAGAAACCCATTTCTCTCTGATCAAAGGGTGGGTCTGGCATCAGTCCCCAGGAACGTGCCTGCTGCCCATTTGCAGGAGGAGTAACTACAAATTAAATAGAGGGATTCCCCATGTGGAAAGGTAGAACATTGTGGCAAACAATGATGCCACTCCTTCCCTCCTGCCTTGCCCTGCTTATCTGTTTGACCGCACTTGCCCGGGTCAGTTGGTTCCTCTCTCTGAGAACTGAACCTCTTGCAGTGGGCATGTTCATTAGATTCAGGTGAACTCTGCTTAGAAATTAGAAATTACAGTAGTTCCTCCCTCATGGTCATTTCTTGGCTTAAACAGTCTTTGGAAACTCTCTGAGTCACCCTCCCCACCTCCTAGGTGACTAATATGAGCAGTGTCTCTTTTGGGCTTGCTGTGTTCGGGTGGATAAGGCTCTGCCACTGAAAAACTCTCCCCTGCTCTGAAGTGCGGTCTCATGCGGTTACCGGTACGTGTGACAAAATTAGTCTCTCTCGGGCGAATGCCCTCTTGTGATAAACTCAGCTGTCCCTCCCACTTCTATGTTGTAGAGAATAGCACTGCAACGAGTTCAGTAATGGACTACTTTCATACATTGACAAATCAGAATGTATTCATGTGCCGTAAGCCTCCCAAGTGGCGAAGTGTTCTTAGTGGATTTCACTGGAATTCTTTCATCTAAATGTCTGTCGTAAATCACATTTCACAGATGTTTATGTCAGTGTTGCTGCTTTTAGTCTCCACCAGGGTTTACATAAGGGGTGGATGTATTGCTGTCTTATCACTGTTTATAACTGAATTCCAAGGATAAAAAAGTGAGTCTCAACGCCAGTTTTAGAATTCCATACCTGGGATTAAGACACATGACAAAATTCTGAAAATTTTGGTGAGGAAAAGTTCATATTTGTTAATGTTTTAAAAGAGCATATAACATTTTGGAAGTGAGAATAGACCTTTTATAAAGAAAAACTTCTCAATGTGTATTAAGAAACAAGGAAGCATTCGCTAACCTCTTTTAAAAATTCCCCTGCCTCAAACACTTTGATTTAGGTCTGTTTTGTGGGTTTTTGCATTTTTTTTTACCTACAAGTGAATAAAATTTCTTATATGGCTTTGGATAATATTTGCCGTAAGTCAGGAACTCTTTAAAGACATTCACTGCTGTATATAATTTAGCAACAGAGTGTGCTAAATGCTCTAGTTGGAGTCCTAAAGAAGTAATCTGAGATAAGCACAGAGCCAATGAGGGTGGTGTGAAGTCACACTTAGAACACAGGAGAGCATACACAGTAGCAACAAAAACCTACCAGCAGACCTCCCCCAAAATTGTCTACAGCACCACATTTTGAGATGCAAGCATAAAGCCAGTCCTAGGAAACAGAACCCAAGAAAACCAACAACTAAAACATAGGTTTAAGCTGGGTGTGGTAGCACATCTTTAATTTCAGCACTCAGAAGGCAGAATCAGGTGGATCTCTGTGAGTTCAAAGCCAGCCTATTCTCCAGAGCAAGTTCCAGGACAAGAGCTACATAGTGAGACCCTGACTTAAGTAAATATATCAGATAAGTAAGTAAATAAGTAAAACATAAACTTACCCTAGATTAAATTAAAAATAGCAACTTAGAAATGACTTTAAGAAGGTAGGTTCTACTGAGAAATATAATACTCAAAGAATATTTGAACAAAAGCGTGTAGATATTAGCAAGAATGTACAATTTTTTTTAAAAATGGAAATGATACAAACTAGGATCTATGTTTTATCTAGTGATAATAACTTTCACTAGACATAGATAATGTGAGCAACCACCTTCATCTGCATGGAGCTAGGATGTTAGTGCTGAAATTGAGCGTCCTGGCTAGTTTTATGTCAATTTAACATAAGCTGGCCATCTGCAAGGATGAAACCTCAACTGAGGAAATGTCTCTGTAAGATCCACCTGTAAGGCATTTTCTTACTTAGTGATTGATGGGGAAGGACCCATCCCATAGCTGGGGGGGTGATATCCCTGGGCTGGTGGACTCACTGAGGACAAATTGGGACATAATGTTTCTGTAGAAGGAACTCTGAACAAGATGGTGAAAGCAAAAGGGACTAAAGGATACTGGAATTTTAGAGAGCTGAGGAAAGTCCAGCTTTAGATCAGGTTGCCACCTCTTGCCCATGGAGAATGTCGAACCTCTCTGTTCTGATGTTGACTGTTTGCTTATGCCTCACCCATGGTGGCTTTCATGTTGCAGGAGATGGAGAGCCAGCAAAGCCAACAGTGCTTGTTGATCCTTGCTTTCAGTGGGTACTAAAAGTGTAGGTGAAAACAAATGTGTGCCTCAATAAACCATACTGAAGGTGCTGAACCTGAAGGCATGCTCCTCAGAGAGAAAGACAGAATTCACTACAGTTAGTCTTGGAAGAACATTGCGTTAGTGACAGTGTAAGTCAGAAGCCATCTAAGCCATCAGAGAAGTGGCTCAGAGGTGGCTGGAGTCCTTTTTGCACATGTGTGAGGACCAAAGTTTGGATCCCCAGCAGCCCCATATAAAGCAGGCTATGAGAAAGCAGTGCACTGGGTGGTGGAGAGCAGGACCCAGGGCTCACTGGGCAGTCAGTGCAGTCCAATTGGTAAGCTTTAGGTTCATTGGGAGATCCTGTCTCCTAAAGCAAGGTGAAGACTAACAGAGGGCACCTGCCATTGCCTGTATGCAATGCTCCAACCTCCAAAGCCAAAAGCCAGTTAAATAAGTCTGCAAAGTGCTGAGGGGAAATAACCATTCATTTTTAGAATATTTGAATTCAGATAAATTTTCATTTATGAGCTGAAACAAATAAATGGATTGTAATTGGACTGTACAGCAGTTTGTTGGGGGGGGACCCACTGCCAAAAAGTGAAGAATACATATTAAGAACATAACAATGCACAGTTAAAGAAAAAACTTAAAAAGGAAGCATTATTATATTCATATAATATATGTGAAATGGCTACTATATGCTATTTCATAAGCACCCATAAATGAAACAAAAGTATAAAGACATGACTACAAAAGCTTTACTCCGCAGAGGGAAGGCAAGATACAGAATTGAAAAGGAGCTAAAAGTAGAATTTAATAATGTCTTTTTAATTTACTAAGCAGCTGTCCAAGTGCTAATATGTATTAAGTATAAGAGTCAAGAATGGGGACATTTATTTGCTATTAAATTAAGTATATATTTAATTTTTATTTATTTATTTTTGAGATAATTTTGTGGCCCCAGGTAGCCTTGGACTCATGGTCACCCTGCTTCCACCTCCCCAATACTGGGATTACAGACATGGATTATTGCATTGCACGGTGTTATGTTTAATAGAAGGACTCAGGGAAGAAAGGTCAGATAGGTGCACATCTAAGAACTAGGGAAGTGTTATTGAAGTTACCAAACCAAGAACTAGAAGACCACACCTACTCACTTCAGAACAGTGTGTCTCAACCTAAGCTCTAAGGATGGCCCTTGTTTCATCCTACCTGCACCAGCAAAATCTATGAGTGAAAGATATCACTTGAAAACTGAAATGCTCATGGAAGTTTTCATTTTTCACATAGTTGGCTTGTTTGGACTACAGCCCTCACGGGAGCCTTCCAGTTCTGATTTCCTTGGAACACCATCTTTCAACTGGGCCTCCCTTGTAGTCCCTGAAGTTAACTTGTTGGCCTGTCCTAGGAGCCATTCCATCTCAGAACTTGTATGCTTGTTCTCTAACTTGGTGATGTTCAAAATCAGGAGGGGCTTCATTTTGAGAACTGTGAAGTAAAACTGATGATATTCAAACCTTAAGCCAAGACCAAGGATATCCATAAAGGTGATACACATCTCTTCAGAAGAAGTCCCATTCAAAATGTGAGTCAACCCCCAGAGCCTACTCTTTTGCTCAGCACTCTTCAGCTAAGTCTTGTGGTACACAACAATAAAATCAAGTTTCATCACCTTAATGGCTGTGTCCTTCAAAATTTTGTCTGCAGATCGCTACCTGCTAAGGCAGTAATTGTCAATCTGTAGATCCTCACCTCTTGAGGGCTGCATATCAGATATTATGCATACCAGATATTTAGATTATGATTCATAACAATAGAAAAATTACAAAATAATTTCATGATTGGGGGATCACCACAACATGAGGGACTGTATTGAAGGGTTGCAGCATTTGGAAAGTTGATAACCAACGTTCTAAAAGTATGGTATTAAGGGGTAAGGCACTTGGGAGGCATTTATGCATGAGGGTTCCCATGCCTAGGATTATCATAAAAGAGGCTAACGGAACCCTTTTGCCCCTTCTACCACAGGAGTACATAGTAGAAAGTCAGCAGTCTGCAACCTAGACTGTGGCTCTCACCAAACCTAGTACTGTGAACACCCTGACCTTGGACTCTACAACCTCCAGAACTATGAGGTACAGATTTCTGTTGTTTATGACCATGTAGTTAAGGTATTTTATTATTAGAGTGTTCAGCATAGACCTGACAGCCTTCAAGGCCCAGTGATCATGTGACCATGACCTTTTCTTTAACCACAGCTTGCCACTCTCCCTTTTTTCCCCCTCAACCAGGTCTTTGAGACCCAAGCTCAACCTTGCTTTGCATGCTTTTAATCTACTGTTTCTTCAACTGGAAATCTTTAGCCCCCTTCTGCATGCCAAGCTCTTCTCAGGGTTCCATTTCACATTTTGAGGTTGGACTTTGAGCTTTGGAAGCTGCTGCAAGGGTTCCAGGGTGCAATGAGAGTGGAGAACCAGCTCTGTCTTAACCCTTAGCTCCCTAGAGATCAGGAATATGTTGGAAGGGACCATCTCTCCTCTGTTTTCTATTCAGCATCTTGACTGTCTCCTTTAGAGATTAGAACATGGTACATTGTTGATTTGTTTCCTTTGTGAATGTTCCCTTCCAAACAGCAACAGCCCTGGAAGTCTGCCTGGCCTAGTAACCTCTTCAGCAGAGCAGGGAGTTAATCAGAAATGCAAATTCTCAGGTCCCACTCTGGGCCTTCCTGGGCATTCTGAGTTGTACTGAAGTCTGGGAATCAATGTAATGAGCAGAGGCTTTAGGAATACAAGACCCCATCTGTGTCATTCACACATTGTTTGCCGAGTAGTAGAGCCCGGATGTGGAGAAAGGGTCCAGCAAGCCTTTGATGGTGTTAGCACATCTCAAGCATATTTCTTTTATCAAAGCTTACATGTAGACAGAAGGCTAAATGCAAGAAATAAAACAAGAACTCCAAACACAACCTTTACTTTTCTCGAAATTTATGTGTAAAACGTCTTTCTACACATTATGAGCATTTGAAAAACTTTGTGCATTATTAGAACATCTGCTTCTTCATTTTTTTCAGTAAATTTTATACATTGGACATGCCTTATGTGGCAAGGTATCATCCTATTATTTCTATCTAGAACTGTAAAATTACCTACTGCATCTAAGGCCAGATATTTGAGATACTGTATCCATTGCTTTTGTCTTTTCCTTTTAAAATTCTAGAATCCTATAATTACAGCAGCATCAGAGAATTCTTAGGTTAGCTCGGTAGCTTTACTGAGCTGCTGGAGAGGGTTTGGGTCAAGATTCTTTATGAAGAAATGAGGAGGCTGAGCCTGGGTCCCAGTGCTCCTTGCTAGGTGGGACATGAGCTCAACCCAGTGTGGGTTTGTAGAGCTTAGCCATCTGAACATCTGATGTATTATATTCATCCTCAAATTGCTTCAAGTGTTTTTGTACTCCATTTCTACAGTTCCTTTACCAGTACGTTGTTGGGAGAGGACAATAAAAGACAGATTTCTCAGTATTCACTTGGGTCATCATATGGTGCCACGTGTGGATGGTGTGTTGCCTGGATTTTTCTGCCTGAAGGAGGCTGGTGTTGTTAACTGTGGTAACAGCAGAAATGCTTGGGGAAGGGGACGGATGAGGATTAGAGATACTCTATCAGTTCATCTCTGCCTCTGAACTCTGGGGCAAAGAAACAGAAAGACAGGAACTCAACCTTTCAGTTTCCCATCCCAGGGACACCTGACATATTTCCCTGGAGTCAGCACTCTCAGAAAAGGGAAGTTCATGGTGGTCATGACAGAAGCAGGTGTGGCTACTGATTCCTTGTTCTGATAAGGACGAACATCTTTGTGAAGAATTCCCCTCAACTCCAGGAGAGATAGTCCTAGACATTACTTGCTCATGGAACTGCTCTTTCTAGAATGTTGCATAATGTAGATATCCCCAGGATCTGAGAACTGACAGACTTATGATCATATCCCAATTCCAATATTTAACAGCTGTGTGGCTGTAAGCATGTTATCTCTCTGAAGACTCAGTTCACTTAACTATAAAATGCACAATGACTTATTATGTGTTATGTATTATGGTATAGAATACATAATGCCTTCCATAGTTTGCAGACTTGAAGACAGTTCTCACTGGTGGAGTGGTTCTGGGCAGTTGTGGTGCCTTTAGGAGGCAGGGCCTCGCTGGAGGAAGTAGGTTACTGGTGTGTGTGTGGATAGGTCTTATGGGATATACACTAACCCCAATTCCAGCCAGAGTGGTTTTGTGTCGTGATCTGCTGATACATGAGCCACAGCCTCACATTCCTATTGCCAGGGACAAGAGCCTGTCCTATCACCATGCCTTCTCCAACATAATGGAGTACATTTCATTAAATGATGGTCTAAAATAAGCCTCACTTCCCTTCGGTTGTTCCATAGCAGAGTGACAAAGGGTTATTACATGATTTAATAACTGCATCTCTGGCTCACCAGTGTTAACTGCTAAAAATCACTTCCTTCTTGGGATCCTAGGAAGGGTCTATATCTTCTTAAGAAACTCTGTGTTGGGAGTTGGAAGGAAGGAGACCAACTTTCCCCAGTATCTGGAGAGTGCCTGTGCTGTGATGGCGCTTTAGAATTGTATCTTTGTATGTATATCAGTCCAGTAGGAAAATCCCTACCAGCACTGGCATCACTAGATAGAGAAACAAACATGAAATTTAAGAGGCTTACAAAAAAATCCAACATATGAGCGGAAAGTAAAGTTAACATATAAGGAGCAATAAATGCAGTTTTCTGTTTGTTTTTTGAGACAGGGTTTCTCTGTGTAACAGCCCTGGCTGTCCTGGATCTCTTTGTAGACCATGCTGGACTTGAACTCACAGAGATCCTCCTGCCTCTGCCTCTGAGTGCTGGGATCAGAGGTGTGTGCCACCACCTCCTTTTTTGTTTTTTGTTTTTTTTTTAAACAAATGCAAGTATTTTGTTATTACACTATAGTATCTCAGGGATAAAGTTAGAGTCTGCTTGTTATAATGTTGTTAAGATGTGCCAAAGTTAATTTTGAGGAACAGAAAAAAGTGTAATTTTGATAATCTGCAAAGACAGGTGTGTATAAACAAAGGTAGGCATGCATATACAACGTTGCAATGACATACTTATTATGTCGCTGACAGAGGCAAACTTTAAATGTATCAAGAAAAGAAGGGGTATTGGAATTCTTAAATAAGTGTGTGTGTGTGTGTGTGTGTGTGTGTGTGTGTGTGTGTTTTCCCCACTTGGTCAATTTTGGATAGTTTTATTGATGGAAAATCATCATAGCTTATGATGATCTTTTCTATATCACAGTAAGGAAAAAGGGGGAAATGAGACAAAAACAGCTGAAATGTCCAATTGTACTATCCTAAAGGGAGAGAGCAGGAAATAGAAATAAGAAGAAAACATACCAGAAATCTCCAACCTCATGAAAATGGTTAAGATAAATTATGGATACAACACATTGCTAAAATGGCCCATCACTAAAAATTACATTATATAGTAGATATTAGTCAAGCTATTTTTAATTAAAATATAGTGAGGAATGGCTTTACATATTAAAATGGCACAGAAAATTATACTTATAAAATATGTATTTAAACTGATGAAATCCTAGAAAAATATGCCCAAATGTGTAGATTGTCCCATAGGATAATAGAATTCTTTATTGTTTCATTTATATAGATCGATGTTTCTAAGAAGCTCTTCAGTAATATGCTTTACTTTTGAAGTAAGAAAACACCAACTCTGGGGAAATAGCTAGTCAGTTAAGTTTCTTTTCGTTTCCGAAATCATCACATTGGTTCCCTCTAGAAACCCACTCCCGGTAGCTTTAAACCATAGTTCCCTCCTTTAATTTGGAGGAAGTTATCAATAACTAAGTCAGGCTGTTTTCCAAGAATCCTGGGTCCAAAGCGAGCATGGAGAGACTGCAGGGTGGGTGGCACCTCAGGCATGTCTGCGGGTAGTGTTGTATACACCATTTCCTCAGCCCTTATGACTCTGCAACTCTCACCCCAACTCTCTTCCTGCTCACTCTCCCTGCCTTCATCCTGACTCAAGCACTTCTGGATAAATCCTTGCTTTCCCCATGACAACACATATGTAGTCTCAGCCCCTGTCTTCTCACTGGGTACCACTAAAAGAAGTAACTGTGTCTGCATCATGATCAGGGATGGCACAACCCTGGTCTTTGGTGGGTGGGTGGTAGTGGTGTACAGAGATGGTCTTGAGATTATAGAACAAATGGCTCACTTCCTGAATCAGGGAGCAAAATCGCACAGTTTGGGGGAGTTGAATTTTTTATAGTTAAATAGTGGGAAAATTGTGGAGCAGAATGCCAGTGTTGTAGCTTGTCTACACTATAGGTTAAACGAGTTTTTGTGACACATCTGGGAACCTAATCACTTTTTTAATATGCTCCCAATAATGACTGTCAATTAACTTTGGGAACACAGACAATCCCTAGGGTTTGGACTACCTGAACTTTGTTTTTCTTTGCTCAATTAAAATAGTAAAATGCATTTTTTAAGGAAAATAATTCCTGTATCAAACCCTCGTTATGTTGCCAAATGGCACCTCTCAGCAGCAATGCTGCCTAGCACGCGTCACTGGGATCTTTCAGACCTAAAGCACTCCCCCAGTAACCGTGGTTAACTTACTGCCCTATCCCACAGCTGTCTTCAGTGTCAACGAGAAAGAATTCAACTTTTTCCTCTGTGAGTCAGATACTTTCCTCCTTTCTGACAGCCAGACTCAGAAAAGGGAACTCCTGAAGCCTCGCTCTAAAAGGGCATTATAGACACAGCAGCTTCCTCAACACAAGGACAACAATGAGCAAGTGACAAGTCCAAAGTCAGTGAGAACCTGACCATAGGCCCCCTCTTCCTCAGTACAGAAGACTAGCACGCTTGCCAGAAGACCAGAGAGAGTCATAAAATCTGGGACTTACCATGTTTGTTGGAGAGAGCCGCTATGCCTGGCACTCTGCAACCCTGCAAATGCTGTGACGCCGGCAGTGAGTGTGCAACTTAGCTGTGAAGAGCATACTTCCTTTTCTTAGCAGTGTGGTCAAACCAGCCTTCACACATTGATATGGAAGGCTATATTTGCATTTTATCTCAGCCCAGGAACATTGTATGCCTGGTCAGGTTTCCCTTTGTTGTAGTTAATGACACAAGAGAAAGGGGTAGGTGAAGCTTTTAGGACTGAAAGGTGAACACCAAATTGGAAAAGTGTCTGGATAATGTATTCTCAGTTTTATTAACCTGGTTATATTTAACAGCCTCTATTTTAGGCTACATGTGAATGTATATATCTCTTTATTATCTATCTGCCTACATCTATCTGTCTAACATTTTATAGCTATCTATTAATCATCCATCTATCTATATCTGTCAATCTATTGTTTGTCCATGTCTATCCATCCATCCATTCATCCATCCATCCATCCATTTATGAAGGACCACACTAAAATGTTAGTAGTGATTGACTTGACTAGATGTATAACAAGTAACTCTTGTTTTGTTCTATGCTCTGTTTTTCAGGTTTTCAATTTTGAATACATACCAATTCAGTAAAAAGCAACTATAAAATTCAAAAAAGATAAAAAAGGATCCCGAGCCTTTAATCAACAACTTCAAATACGCTAGAACCCATGCCGTGGGATGTAAATGGCAGCCCTATTCATTAAGCTTATCACTGAATGTCATTGAGAAAGCACAATGAATGCTAAGCTAAATGATGTGTTTCTTAATTGTGGAGTAACGCTTGCTAGTGCCAAATGCTTCTACCACTCACATTGGTAAGTAGATATATTTTGAACTAGCTATAGTTCAGGGGATTTTACCTCACTCTCAGATCACATTGTTCCCAATCAGCCACTCCAAATACATCCAGATATCCAGATACATGATTTAGCTCATTTATTTTGCGTGTAGAACTTGCTACCAAAGTGAGTCCAAGGGCAAAGGTCATTTTTTTGTTCCACAGCAAAAGAAAGGCAGCTGAATCCTGAGCTCTGGGCTACAGGTTTCTAGCTCTTCTATTAGGTTTTATGTGTTTGTTTATTAAGCCTAAGTTCACCAAATTTCTGCTCTGGACACTAAGCCAACTTTAGTCACTACCATGTCCATACAAAATAAGCCTTAACAACAAATATGTTCTGTTATTTCTTCCTTTTTTCTGTTTGATTTGTTGAGACAGGGTATCTCTGTGCAACAGCCCTGGCTGTCCTGGAACTCTCTTTGTAGACCAAGTTGGCCTCGAATTCCTGAGAGATCTGCCTCCTGAGGGCTGGGATTAAAGGCATGCTCCATCATGCCTGTCTCTGTTATTTCTTTCTTGATATGAAAAGATTTCTGAGAGCCAGTCAGTGACTAGAACTGTAGATAGCATCACTGCTGAGTCCAAAGAGGAAGGCATGGCTGGGAAACCAGGTTCATGGGTCCAGTATTGCCCTGTCATCTTTGGGCATTATAAAGAGGAGTGGAGCTTAAGGTGTGGTCCTAATCTAGGAGGGTGGTCAGCAGCTAGAAACTGCATGGCATTTGACATCCTATAAACAACTCTTGAATGAGGGAGGACACGCAGGCAAAGCAGAACTATGGAAAGCAGGCTGTTAGACGTGCCACATTTGGACACAATGGCGCTGGGGTGGAACCACCCAGAAGGGCTCTGTTGGAATGGAGATGATCACAGTACAGGTACTGGTTGTATTGAAAATAATGGTCTTTAGCTAGACTGCATGCCAGACTCACTTAGAAAACTTTTCAAGCATGCCACTATGCAAACTTCACCTCAGCCTCTAAACCAGGCTCTCTTGGGTTGAAACCTGGACATCAGGATTTGTTTAAACCTCCCAGGTGAGTCCAAGTTGTTTGAAGGCGTGCTACTGCATTCTGCAGGATGGCTTATTCTTAGTCCCACCATTCTCTTTATAGCCCAAACTGAATAAAAATGTCATGATAATCAGAAATTTAGCAATTGCTTGTTAAAAGTGTAGCCAGTTAGATTAGTCTCTGGGTATAGGAATTTTCAGTCTCCTGAATCACATTTGACCCAGTGCTTGTCTCTAAATGTAAACTGACATCGATTTTTGTTGTTACTGAGGTTTTAAGGAAGACATGTTAGCCGAGACAGGAAAGGCAAGGGGTTTTATTTCCTAAGTCTAAAACTCTAACATGAGACCCTATCCCTCATCTCCAGTTGGCCTGCAGCAGTCTAGCCTTCCAACTCACCGATCGATCAACACTCCATGCACTACCAACAAATGTATAAGTTTCCCCTTCAGTCCATGTAAACATTTCCCTGAGACCAAGGAAGTGACCATTGATTGTTTGTCACTCCACTGATACTTTTAGAGGCCCAGGCTCCCCCAGTCACAGTCCTTAAGGCTATGGCTGGTCCTCTTCACCTGACCCCATCCTACCACCTTTGAAAATTGCAATCCTGCAGTTTCATTAGGCCCAATCGGATCATTGTGCCCCCTCCTGACCCTCTTTCCTATCTCCCCCAGGGAGCTGGCTATAATCCCACAGCTCCTCTAGGCCCTTGTGGCTTCTGTGACTCCATTCCTGACCCTTTCCTGTGAATGAGATCCCTCTTAGAGCTCAGTTTCTGTCTACGCCTTCTGGCCTCTAGAAAAGCCTTGGTACCAGGAACTGAGTCTCTTCTGGCTTAGCCAGGCTAAGCCTGACACCTGTTGAGTTGGGTGAAGACCCTCTGAACGGCTTGGTCCTCTTTCTGTGGTCCTCCCTGAGTCCTGGGGATGCCCTTGACTCCAGGCTGCAGTGACCTTTTCCTTCTCATCCATGGGAACGTTGTCATCTCTACCCTCCCATTCCCTCTTGGGATGCCTCCTAGAAAACCTCCAGTCTCTACACCTGACACCTGAACTGAAGGGCCCTAAACTTACTTTTGTAATCGAATTTGGTCTAAATACCATTTAGATAATCAGTCCAAATGGCCACATAATGGCACCCTAGATCCCGATATTTTTTGGGACCTTCACAACTACTCAGAGTGATCGGGGAAATGGAAGGAGATTCTCCTTTCCTACATTCAAACCTTCTCTTTTCTCCACTCCAAGCCCAGTTTATGTCTGGTCTTTGCCCCACACACATACTGTGTAAATGTCCTGTCTTTTATGTGACTATTGATAGATCTGTAAGCGTTTTTTACAACATGGGAGCTGGAAGCTGGATCTAGTAGAGGACAAAAGCAAAGGAGTAGCCAGCTGTGGTGTAACTCCTCCCTGGCTGCTGCATCTCTCAGCTCCTTCCTACAGTGTCCTCCGTCTCTGTCTAGGGTTCAAAATCCCAATCTTAAGCCTTCATTGTTAAGTTTACTGGAATTCAGTATCCTTTATGTATGAGTGGCATTGCACCATTGTTTTATGTTGTCCCACTGCAATTAAAAGCTGGCTCTGGAGTTGGGGTGTGGCTCCCCTTCCTCTAGACCCAAGCATGCGTATTTAAAAGGTTTCCTCCAAAAATCTCTGTCCCATATCAGGAGAACCACCTGCTATGTGACAGAAAGGAGAGCAAAACGAAAAAAGGACAAACTATTCCCAATAGAAACTATTGCTACTCATCTCATACACTTTAGTTCTTTGAACCTTTTGCTAAGGTATTTTAAAGAAACCACGTGGTAAGTCATTTTTGCATAAACCTACTAAGGAGGAAACAACTCATAGTTATAAAGCCCAAACCAGATGATTCCTCCACTATTTTCTTTCATGGTAGTAAACCCCCACTTATCAGCCTCAACCAGAAGTTCCTTCTCTTTCTCTCCAGTCTCTCTGGTTTCCCTTCTCCCGCCTCAGCAACACTCAGTCAGGGCTGAGTCTATGACATTAAAGCAGAGTACTCCACTATCACCTATAAGGCCTTTGGCTATAAATGCCAAATGGGTATCCAATATATTACCCAATTGTATAACCTCACCTTCCATGATGTTCATATGATTCTTGCCAACCATCTCCTCAGAGAAACATGGAGTCTGGGAGCAAGCTAGGACCCATGCAGATAAATTCCACAAAACTAACAACACCTATCCAGTTGGGGCTTTGGCAGTTCCTGACCAGAACCCTAAATGGGAATTTAATACCCCATGGGGCATCCTAGCTAGGAAGCAATTTTTAACTTGCCTCCTGGCTGGTATCTACAAGGCTGCCCTTAAGGTGGTAAATTATAAAAAGTCCCAGGGGTCATCCAGGAAAAAGTACAAAAACCCATCTCAATTCCTAAACTGTCCTACAAAGGCCCTCTTACAGTAACACTTTATGACTTACTTTTTCCAAAAATTACCTTAACGTTAGGGCCAAACTTAAATGTCTACAAAAGGGCCCCCTGACTCCACAGTCTGTGGCCTTCAAGGTGTACCATGGGAGAGATGGAAAAGTCCCAAAGCAAAAATGCCTGATCATTGCTAAGGCCTCTCAAATGGCTAAAGCAAAAGCCCAGGCTCCCTGGTTTCCCAAAGCCCAGGAACTTCTGTGTCCCTCTTTCAAATGTGGTCTGGAGGGTCACTGGGTCTGGGCCTGTTAGAACTCTCATAAACCACCCAGACAAGTCCAAGGTGCCATCAAGAAGGACACTGGGGTGTTAATTGCTCCCATGTCCCTGTGGCATGAGGAAATCAACCCTAGGATCACCTTTCATCTGACCTCCTTGGTCTGGCCATAAATGACTGAAGGGGCCCGGACTCCCTTGGCCTGACTACCGCCATCTCTGACAGGGAGCCTCGGGTAGTTATCACAGTATCAGGGCAGTTCATCTCCTTCCTTACTGGACACTGGAGCCACTTTTTCAGGACTGATGAAGTTCTGGAGACCCACCACTCCTTGTTCCTCCATTGTCAGAATAGGGGGACAACCTTATCAGGCTCACCAAACCCCACCACTTAGCTAGAGACGTAAACCTGTTCCATTCCATTGCTGGGAAGGGACTGTAAAGGGAAGCTTTTCCTTGAGAGAAGCCTTCCCGCCAGCCTGGTTCTAGAGCCGCATCAGTCCCAAATAAACACACAGGAGGCTATATTCATTATGAAGCTGTTGGCCTTGCTTGTTTCTTACTGGCTTGCTCTGACTTAAGTAATTACCCCATAATTGTTAATCTAGGTATTTCTCTTACCGGAGAATAGTTCCGGGCTTCCTACCCCATGGCGGTACATTTCGACTCTCTTGTGTTTCTCCTTCCCAGAATCCTCCTGGACTCCTAGTCCCACCTATGTAGATTCCCTATTGGCCAGACAGTGCTTTATTGACAAATGCACAGGACTTCCCCAACAAGGGACCTTTCAGCCAACATGGTCATCTCTATTTATTTTGCTTCTCTATCTGCTTGGCCTCAGGCTCGCCAGGTGTTTCCCTTCTTCTCCTCCAAACCACACAATCTAACACACTTCTCTTACCATCCTCTCAGGTAGATCCTCAGCTATGGGCCACTTCAAATCTCTCTCTAGCCAAACATCACATCCCTCTAATCATTTAACTACAAACCCTGCCAAATATATAACCAAGGCTCAATATCCACTTTCACTCTCAAGTCTCAGGGGAGACTTAACCTCTTAACCCTCTCTGCTCTGACTTCTAAGGAACAATCTTCTACATGAACCTATCCCTGCTCCTGGCAGGGAGGAGTTGCTCAGGGAATGCAAAATGTTGATAATTCTCCAAACAGTGGATACACTCTCTCTTTTCCTATTTGCATTTCAGGAAAATCATTTTCTAATTTTTTTTTCTGGGGCAGAGGAGAAATGAGCCTGCATTTCCAGTGGTCACCACACTGATTACAGTGAAGCATAGAGACACTGCGTTGTACCAACTGAATGTAAGAGATAAAGCCAGCTTACAAGTAGATGCAGGAGAGAGCAGTGACAAAGTTTAAGTTACACTAGGGATCATGTTTTCAAAACATTGCTAATGTTTTATCAACTATGTCATCAAAGGAGCATGGTTGACATTGCACAGAAGGTTTGGGGAGAGTTATGGTAAGATTTCATCTTTATAACCTGAATGATTAGCATTTTAAGAGAACAAACAGCTCTTCTGTGTGCCCAACAGAATACGCCTGGATGGAAGATATGAGAGAGGAGAAAAGAGATATGGTTGTTGTCACCTCCTCCAGGAGGCCCTCTCAGATACCACCCCCTTTTCTCTGGACTCTTTGAGTACACCCAAGAGGATGCCTGTCCAGTGTGTTTATCCTTTATGGTTCTTCAATTATGTCACAGGGATTGGGTTAGGTTACTCACTAGATTTGTACCTCCTTGGTGAGAATTAATTTTCACACCACCCCTAGGTTGTACATTAGTGTTTTTTTTTTTTAAAAAGACTTGTTTGGGCCCTTATGTTCTTTTTTGAATCTAATTAAAAACAGCATATGGCTTTGTATGCTAATACTTTGTGCATATGCCATCCCCACAAAGCCCACCATGGGCAGTTGCTTAGCTGAAACAGAACCCTATGCTGAAATGTTGGCACTGCTACTGTGTGACGATGAATCAAAATCAGACATGGCTGGGGACCTGGCTACCCTTCCGGCATGGTCAGTTCAAACCATTATTTTATAAGTGTGTGCCTTTTTGGTTCACAGGCATTTGAGCTGTGCCATCAAAAAGGCAACTCTGACTCAGGAAGTAGATTCACAGGAGTTCAAGGAAACTAAGGCTTCTGCTCAGCCAGATAGGGACAAGCCAGAAAGAGAGAAAGTCAGGACATGCTTGGCTAAGGAAGGCAAGTGAGGACTAGTTAGCACTTCTTAATTAGACCTACTTTCTTATGCTTTTTGGTTTTAAAACATGAGTCTTTTTCTTTCTTGTTCTCTTTCTTTCCATTTTTAGGAAAGCACATTGCGTTTCAGAACATCAAGGATCTGGAGAACAATTAGGAGCAATGATCACTTCTTCAGAGGACTGAGTCTGGTTTCCTGCACCTATGTAGGGTGACTTACAGTCACCTATAAATAGACTTCCAGGGGGCATCTGGAGACTTTGACATCCACAGACACTTGCATTCATGTGTACATGCCCACATGTGCACACACATGATTATGGTTGAAAATAATAAAAACAAAGCTGTTAAGGGGCTGGAGAGATGGCTGAGCAGTTAAAGGCAATCGTTATTCTTGAGGAGTACCTGGGTTTGGTTCCCAGCCAGCTTAAAACCATCAGTAACTCCAGTTCCAGGGGATATGGTGCCTTCTTCTCATCTCCAAAGGCACCAGTTATGCATGAGCAATACAGGCATACATACAGGCAAAACACTCATATGCATAAAATTAAAGTAAAAGTATAAAAATACTATTAAGACCATCAAGTATCTGGAAGAAAGAACATGAATGACTTTCAGTGACAAATGAATTCAGTCTTTGGTCAAAGAGTTCTTAATATGTTTCAATAAGGAGAGAATGTTATGTTTAAACTCTAGAAAGGCATGGAACAGCTGTGGTTCCCATGCAAACCTGGGTGATTATTGACTGAGCTGTAGCAGGACTATGGAAAAGCAACCCAGACTCTAAGGCGCCTTTAATCAAGCCAACAGACGAAGGTTACAGCTTATGTGCAATTCCTATATTCTGTAGCGTTGCTCTTTTGTTCCTAATTCATGTCTTACCCTTCCTTGGGTATTTGGGGACTTAAATCTCTCTGAGTCTGTTGTGTCCTCTGTTTCTTACTCTTACTTCTTTAGTCCATGCCTATTCTTCTCAGTAATTCAATCTAAATGTAATCTCTCCTTTGTATTGTTGTATTTTTGTGTCCTTTACTCGGTTAAAGAAAAGAAATGAAGACACACACACACACACACACCTGCAAAGAGTGGACTGAAGCCCGATATAATATCTGATAAGAATTTAAATATACTAAATACCTAAATATCAGAATGAATAGTTTAAAAATACTTAGAAAACACTTGGAAAAGTATGATAACACTGACATTTTTGTGTCATAATTTCTTGGGTATGACTTCAATATCTCAGTCAACAAAAGAAGCAATACATAAAATGAGTTTCATTTATATTAAAGGCTTTTTATTCATCAGAGGACACTATCAAGAGCTTAAAAAGGGAACCTCAGAATGGGAGATCACATTTGTGAAGCAAATACTTGACAAGGGATTAGTATCTACAATATATTAAGAGCTTCTATAACTAAGCAACACAACAAAGTAATTGATTCAAAAATAGGAACAGAAATTGAATGTACTGTTGTTCAATAATGCATATTAAAAGATGCTCAATACTAATAATAGGAAAATTCAATGCCTATTTTGATAATACTTCATGCTCATGAGTATTTCTATTATATAAAAAGAGTAGAAAGTTACAAGTATTGGATAGATATTGAGAAATTGAAACAGGTTGTTACTATATGCTGACTCTGTAAAATGATACAATTGCTATGGAAAAAGACTGTGCATTCCCCAACAAACGTAACATAGATTGGAATATGATCCAGTGACAACACCCCTTTTGGATATATAGACATGGAATTGTTTGTTTATTTAGGTGTTTCAGACTAGTCCCACACTCATTACACAGCTGAAGATGACCTCAAATTCTAACCCTCTTGCCTCCACCTCCCTATTCGTGGTTTTTCAGGTATATGCCACCACATCTGGTTTTATGAAGTGCTGGGAACTGAACCCAGGGACTCATTTATTCTAGGCAAGCACTTTACCAACTGAGCTACACCCAGGCCCTAAGAGTAGAGTTAAAAGCAATGCCATAATTATACATTCAATGCCAGAAGAATATTATTCAAATGTGAAAGCAATTCAGGTGTCCATACTGAAGGGATAGAGAAACAGTGTATATACATCATATTATCTCACCCCAAAATGTAATTACGGGGCTGAGTGTTGTGATACAGGTATATAGTCATAATATTTAGGAGGTAAAGGCAAGAGATAAAGCATTCAAGGTTACCACTGGCTGCATGAGACTATCACAAAAACAAAAACAAAACAAAACAAAAGACAAAACAGTTATGTGTTAACATATGCTGCAATAGAGATGAACTTTGACACACTGTGCTAAAGGAAATAAGCCACACACAAAAGAACAAATGTTCTTTTGTCCCATTTATAAGTGATGCCTAATGTAGGCAAATTCCTAGAAACAGAAAATAGAAGACTGGGAACCAGAGCTAGCATAAAGAAAATTGGAGTTGTTGCTTAACAGGTACAAGGCTTTAGTTTGAGATGAATAAAAAGATGAATGTTGTACATCAGTGTGATTGTAACTAATGCCACCAAACTGCACTCTTATAAATACTTAAAGTAGTTTTTTTTAATTCTTTTTTTTTTTGGACAACACCTCTGGATGTAACCCAGGCTGCCCTCATTTCCCTCTTCCTTCCTAGGTTTACAAATATGTGTCACCATGCACAGCCAAGATAGTAAATGGATTTTTTTCTATATTTGGCCATAAGAATATTAAAAAACAAACAAACAAATCAAGAACTACCTGCTATGAGTGCTTGTTTGCACTCATAGCAGGTAGTTCTAACAGAGGCCTAACCCTGAATGTGAAGGCAATATTAGGTGGGGACTCTGGCAGATGTTGAGGTCATGGGAAATGGGTTAGTTAGAAACCTCACAAACAGGCTGAGGGAACTTAATTTCTCCTTCCACCATCTGAGGACACAGCCAGAAGATGCCACCTGTGATCCACGCATCACTCTTACCAGTCACGGGATCTACTGCCACCCTGATCTTGTCATACCAGCCTTTGCACAGACAAGATACAAATCTCTGTTGCCAGAAGCCACTGTTTAGCCGTTATTACAGAAGCCCAAAGGGACTAAGACAAGCTTCAAAACAAAAGCAAAAACAAGTCACCAACCTATTATTTAGAGGAGAGTTACTAAGGTGTTCTGCCATGAACTATTTTTCCCAATTTTCAGATTGAAACTTCTTGTATGTCTAATGTAACAAGCACTACAGTTATAAGGATTTTAATCAAAGTCTTGCAGAATGACAATATTAACCATTACTATACGCTGCCTACTAGGTGCAGAGATCTTAGTAAGTGACCCCTATCTCAATGATCTATGAAGGGTGTATTACTATCCCTGAATATATTTAGGGGTTAAAAATTTAGTAACTTGTCCATTGTCAAGCAGCCATACTATTCCTTTCTCTTAGAGCATTTTGCTGTTCTTAGCATGATAGAATTTACTTGGTATAAGATTAGATTGGAAGGAAAAGGGTTGGGCAAAGTGGAGAGGTAAATGTTAACTTTTCTGTAAATTATGTGTGTATGAAAAAAATCATTGCATTAAAAACAAATAATTTTAGCAGGTCTCTCATAAGTAGTTATTTAGGACAAACACAGGAGCTGCTGTTGTTGGGTCCACTATAGTTAAACAGCTGACATTGGTATAAGACTGGGGTGAGGATACTTTCCCATACCCACAATATTGATTTTTTTTAAACTGTCAGTGATAAGAAATAAATGAACAAGCTGGGCAGTAGTGGTACATGCCTTTAATTTCAGCACTTGAGAGGCAGAGGTAGGCCGATCTTTGTGAGTTCAAGACCAGCCTAGTCTACAGAGTGAGTTCCAGGACAGTCAGGACTATACAGAGAAACCTTGTCTCAAAACAAACAAACAAACAAACAAACAAGAACAAATATACCAAGCAAAGTTCTGACCCTTAGCCCACTGAGCCCCAGGAAACATGAACACCTATCTGATTACCTTCAGCTCTTTTGATAGTGGCCTCTTCCCAAAGTGATTCAGTGTCAAGATTTTACTGTGTAGGTAAACTTCAGAGGGCAATTCTCTTCATACATGTCTTTCCCAGAATGATGGTACACCCCTTCAGAGGGCAGGTGGGATGAGGCTGCCACTCTGCACTCCATCCCAGGGACAAAAGAACACCTGACTTTTCCAAACAGACCAATGCATAGAATGCCTCGGTCCTTATCACTCTTGCTATCTATCTGTGCTCCCTCCATTAGATTTAGAGACTTTGTGCTGTGCACTGAACACTATTGGGTAGTTTCCGATGTCTCAAGGGTGCACCCTGCTGGAAAAGTACTTTTCCAGACAGTTTGCTTTTGAAGTTATAGGACTGTGATATTGTGATGAATCTAGGGATGGATTGTTGGATATATAGATAGCTCTAGAGGAGGGGGGAGAGGAGTAAGGAGCTGAAAGAAGAGAGAGGAGAAAGAAGACAATGAATGTGAATATGAAATGAGTATAATGGACCTAGACCATCCCACAGTTACCATTCCTTCCATGACTGTGGTAAATGAATAAGCTGAACCTAGGAGGCCTGATCAGGTTTTGTCATTTTCCATTTGACATCTGAGAGCTCATTAGGGGGCTCTAGCAGGGAAAGACAGTGACTTTTTACCCTTGACTGCAGACCAGTCTTCCTCTATTTGGGGAAGGTCATTCTTTTTTATTTTTTGCTGAGCTTCAGAGGGACACACTTGGAGTGGAGAGAAAGGGGACACTGGCCTAGCTAGTCAGATTAACCTAATCAACCCTGGTGATCAGTGGGGTGACAGATGTGGCAGCCAGCTCACTCACATCCTGTGACGTTGCAATTCAGAATCATTAAAGGACTCTTAAGTAGTTATTCTAGTAACTTCCCATATCAAAACCTCTCAATAGCGGTTTAAGAATGTAGACCAGAATTTATCTCTGTGTAGTCAACAAATTCCAGTTCTTTCTGATTAACTCAGTGTTTGGGTACAGAATATAGGACTTCTCTTAATCACTGGACAAATTTAAGTACCAAGAAGCCTGGCACTTGGAGTTATTGTCCCCCCATAAAACATTTTTGTTTACTGTTAAAGGTCTTGAGACTTAATTTAAAATTTCACATTTGAAATTGTTTCCCTGTGAATAATTTATGTATTCAGTAACCACTGAGAATTTCTATGAACTGAAGAAAATATAAATTTATAGATGTATGAAGTATTTAACAGTAAGAATAGCAATGGGATTATCATGATATATGATATTTATATTTAATTATGAGGTAACTAATTTTGATATTACATTTTCCTTTTAGTACTTTGTCCCTCCATGTCTTTATTCTCTGACTTTTTCTGTCTCTTTCCATTCTCTCCTTCCCCCCATTACCTTTATTCTTCCTTTCTTTCAGACCTTTTCAAATCCCAAAGTTATCAGGGCTAGGAAGATTGCTCCATTTATAAAATCACTTTCTTTTTTATTTTATTTTTTTAAATTTAAATTTAAATTAGAAACAAGGTTGCTTCACATGTCAATTCCAGGTCCCTTTCTCTTCCCCTCCCCTCCTCCCACACCCTCCCACCAACCCCTCCAATATCCCCTCATTTCCCCAGGGAAGGTGAGGCCCTCCATGGGTGTGTCCATAGTCTGTCATTTCATCCAGGGCAGGGCCTAGACCCTCCCCCAAAGTCCAGGGTGAGAGTGCATCTCTCATTGTTGGATGGGTGCCCAAAGTCCATTTGTATACCCGAGATAAATACCGAATCACCTTCAATGTAAGCACAGGGACCTGCGTTTGAATCTCTGGAGCCCATGTAAAAGCTTGACCCTTGGTGTGAGCATCTCTAATCACAGAGCTCTTATGGAGAGATGGAAATCAGAGATGGAGGGATCCCCAGAAACTCAACGGCTAGCTAAACTGGAATGTGCAGTAGAACAAACCAACCTCAAACAACAGCACAGTCACCTTGTCTTACGGTGGAGGGCAAGGACCAGCACCAAGGTCCTTTGTGTGTGTGTGTTATGCATGTATGCACAATCTCACTCTCTTACCCCCTTCCTATTATCTCTGTTTCTCTCTGTGCATCTCTCTTTCTCTGTCTGTCTTACACACACACACACACACACACACACACTAAATACACACACAACACACACACACACACACACAAAACACACACATACACACACACCATCTCAGACCCTACTACATTTGAATGGAAAGACTACAGCCAATTTTAATCAGCTCCTTTGGTGGGCAGCCTTCCCTAACATAGCTCAGAAGTCCAAAAACTCAAAACTAAGCTGTATGAAATTGCTGGAGTTTTTTGTTTGTTTGTTTGTTTGCAAAACAGAGGCAGTTTCACAAGACTTAACATAACAATTTCTGGTGTCTGTAGTGCAGCCT